TCTGGCAAGCCGACTGAATTAGACAGATGACTATAAACAATAAATTTAAATGTGTTAGGCCTATGTTAATATACAGTATTTACTATGGTTTTGTAATTTATATACTTTTTATTTTTGTACTATTTGTTAAACTTATATATAATAAATGATAAGTATGTACAGTATAGAGTTTTTTTTTACTATCTGGCAAGCTGACTGAGCAAAATTTAAATTAAAACGATAGAAAGAACAAGTAAATAAATTGAAATACATCCCAAAAGTATTTAATAAATCAGTGCAAAAACCGAGTATTAAATAAATTGAAATAATTGAGTAAATAAACTGAAATACATCCCAAACAACAGTACAGTACCAAGAATGAATAAGTTAATTGAAATACGCCGCAATTAACGCACTACATTCACTGAGAGACGCGCTTGGCGTTCCATAGAAATCACCGGCGGCTCAACCGGTCATAATCCTATAGATCTAGGTCCCGCCTCATCAACAGATAGGTCAACCACCCTTGACGTTCGACCATATTACGATTTCCGGTAAGCATCGCTAGCTAAAATACGGCGGTAGGCCTAGAGTAGGAGTTGATTTAGCTACCGTAGGCCTAGCCTGGTTAGGCCTACTTCTTTTTGCTATCCTAGACGAAACTCAGGCGTACGGAACCCAAACCAGCCTGAACTTGATCGATTTCGGCCTAGGCCTAGCTAAGCTAGACTCGGATAAGGAGGAGTCCCATAGGCTAGAGGGCCACAACCTACTACATCGTAGGCTTCAAACATTAATTTACTCTTTATTTAGCCTAGCCAAGAATGAAGTTTCTGTAAAAGCTTGAGCTTGTCCAGGTCTTAGCCTAACTTAGTGCCTTTGCCATGATGCGCTAGCGGCTTTTTAAAATCTAACTACATTAGGGCACATCATAGAAACAATTATTAATTAGATCACTCTTCTTTTTTTTTTTAAATTGAGGAAGGGCAGTTTTTTTGTTTTTTTTTTATCGGAACAATAGATTATTTCGCTTTTGTTTTTATCGATGAGAGAGGGACTGTTTATATTTGGTGTGTAATAGTAAATATTGTATATAAACTGGTTTAATTTTATACAGTACTGTAGTTGTTTTAAAGAAAATGTGTTTGAAGTCACAAAATTTCATTGTTATTTTTATGCTGTTGAAATAATTGATGCGTCAACAAAATTGTTTTTTTATTCCCGCATCAATATTTCCCGAATTTTTTATGCAGGTGGGAGTGATAATCTAATAATTTTTTTCTATTTGCCCTTATTGATGAATGTAGCTAGTAGTAGTAGTAGTAGGTGAGGATTTATTATGTTTCAATTAACCTCATCTACTGTAGGCTAGGTTAGGCCCATATGTTGATTTACATTAAATTTTTATAAATTGTTATAAGATGAATTAGAATATATGAAGGAAAATATATGAATGTGTATAATGTTTAATATATAAAACAAAATAAACGACAGAAACAAATAGCATTTTAGTTCAGGCTCTTGCCTACATTTTATATTTATAATTCACTGAATTCTATTGAAATCAAATCATATTTACAGTATTTATTTATTTTATACATTTTTTTCCATTCACAGAAACTGAAGTTAAGCTAAAAATAAATGCTCTGAGGACGTATTATCGCTCCGAAAGAGAGCAAAAGCAGTGGACGAAGCTCTCTGGATTGCTACATTTCAAGATGGCCTTTTTTTACAAGCCTTTCATTCTTGGCAGACCATGTCACCCCACGTAAATCTACATCATCTGTAAGTTCTTTATTTTTTTTAGGGGTGGGGGTTGAGAGAGATCCTTAGAAAGTGATCTCATAACTGTAGCAAATTTTTGCATTTCAATTATATTGCCACGGAAGAGGTGTCACTTCATTTACATAGTGACAAAATTTTTCTCTAACATCTTTAGCAATTGATGTACTGTTATTGCTGCCTTGACTATCCAAGTTCTGAAGCTTGGATACTGCTTCCATTGACATTTCCTCCCCATTTGCCCTTAAGTAATTGTGCGGTACACATGTACATAGCACAACTTTCTGGCAATTAGAAGCGTCTAACATTAATTTGGAGTGATAGATTCTGAATCTGTTAGTTAGCGAGATGCCCAAACACATTCTCTACTACTCGGCGGCCTCGGCTTAATCTGTAATTGTAGGCTCTCTTTTTCCTTGATAATCCTCTTTGAGGGTATGGCTTCATGATGTGCTTGTGAAGAGGAAAGGCGTCGTCAGCAAGTATGACATGTGGTGTGACAATATCAGATCCTGGCAACCTGCATGGCTCTGGGATTTTTAGAATGTTGGTTTCAGATGTCAGTGCCTGCCAAAGAGTTTCGCAGCACACCGCCATCACTAATCCTTCCATTGCATCCTACGTTGATGTATAAAAACTTGTAGTTTGAATCAACTAACGCCATCAAGACGATGGAGTGGGTCCCCTTGTACCTGTAATTGTAATTACTTAGGAACCGGATTTTGGAGGACACTGCATACTGATATGTTTTCCATCTATGGACCCAATACAATTTGGAAACTGCCATTTTTGGAAGTAATCATTGGAAACTTTCGTCCACTCATCTTGTGTTGACGGAATCTAAAAAAAAGATGAAACTAAAAATTATATATATGAATATATATATATATATATATATATATGTATAAATATATATTTTATTTTTAATTTTTAGATGAATCGATGTATCAATTCTACTGGGACACCTATGTTGGAAGATGCAATTGCACCGGAAGTATTTGAATCAACAAGCCAGGAACTGATGTCAGTTAATTGTGAACCAGAATTTAACTTAGACTGTGTTCCCATTGCCCCTCTCCCAGAAATGTGCCCCTCTCCCAGAAATGTCCCCCTCTCTGTAATGTCATCCTTTTCAGCAATTCCCCCTCCCATGAAAAAATCAAAGAAGAAAAAGACAAATCCAGATGAGGAGCTAATTGATAAATCTATGCAAGTACTCTCGTCTGCAAATAGTAAGGGCCCTGAAGACCATTTCGGTTTGTATGTGGCCGCTGAACTCAAGAGAATCGGTGATCGAAAAAAAATTAATAAAATTAAATTGAAAATACAAGCAATACTTTGTGAATCTGAAGAATGAGATTCTAAGAAATTAACAAATTTGACTGCTTCATATTCTGGATTCTTGCTACAGTATTTGCATACATTTGATTTTTTTTTTATTGCATACTATATTATAAAATGTTAATTACTATGAATCAAAAATTCTACGGTAATTTTTATTTAATTTTGTTGCTATTTCTAAATTACACTTCTGTGTTGTTTCTATTTCTAAATTAGACTTCGTGAATGCCGTGATTAATACCATATCACTGAATTATACAGGCTCTTCAAAATTTTATGTTTGCTTGAAAATCAACATTTTTAACAGAAACATATTCAGGATTCAAATCTAATGAAAATTGGATGGATCAGGCCTGCACACAGGATTTTTATTGGGTGGGTGCAAATTTGTAGAGAGTGGACCAGAATGGCTCCTGGGGTATCTGTTAAAAATGGTAGATTTGTGAACCCTGCTGGGATAAAGGGCAGGGGGGTGGGGCTCAAGCATTTTTGATAATTTGAGCTCTTTATTTAATCGATTCTTGCTATTTATTTAAAGTATTGACACTACTGAATCTAATGGAAAATGGAAAAGTTCTTGCTAATTATACAAATATTCATTTAATTTTAAAGTATTACTGTATATACTAGAGTATTTAATGAAAACTGGATGGAGTGGAATGGCAGATTATGAATAACAATGCATTTTATATTCATAATTTTCACTATTATAAAAATATTATTTGAATGGAATGTATCAATAAAGTAAAGTGTTTTTGCACATGTTACACAAAACAAAATGGGATGTGTGAAACATAGGCAAAAGCAAACACATTACACTCTATACCATGACTTTTAAAAAAATCATACAGTACTAAGATAGTAGATATTTTGACATGTATTTGAAAGGTTTTTGAAAGTGGTTGTTTACCTTCATGTACTCATCTTTTAGGCTATTGTAGATTGCCTCGCATACTTCAGGAATTAACCTGCTGAGAGACTGCTTCGAAACCCTATGTTGATAGGCCAAGCTTGTGTAAGATTCTCCTGAAATAAATATTAATGTTAAGCGCTAAAATTATACAGTGACAAGCAAGAGCAACTACGTCAGTAGCCTAGATTAGCCTAAAGATTGGCCATATTACTATTTCATAATAAAAGTCAAAGTACAAATTATGATTAATACTTACCAGTAGCCAGGACCCGCAATGTTACACTTAAACGGTGATGTGCTGGGATCGCTTCCCGCAAGTTGGTATCCTTCTTGCTAATAGTAGGTCCCACAAGTTCCAACCAATGGTCAAATAGCATGTAATCCATTCTTATATAATTCTCAAACCCCTTCCTAACTTCCGATCTTAGCTCTCTCATTAGTGTCTCGCATGCTCCCAATTCATTTCTTCTCTCAAGCCAAGGCTTAATCCACATCCTCGTCTCTTATACACATCTAGATGTGTATAAGAGACAGATCTACAATAGCCTAAAAGATGAGTACATGAAGGTAAACAACCACTTTCAAAAACATTTCAAATACATGTCAAAATATCTACTATCT